GTGTCAGAACACCACCGAGGAGCATTGCACTACAACATTTTTAACATCAGTGTTGGAATGGGGAGTGACTGCTTTTACCTGGCTTAGCTGATGCGTGGACACTGAGTTATCCACAAATATTCCAAGGGAATTCTGCCTGTGGCTGGGGCTTGCAGCTCTGCTGAGCTGCTGCAGGACCATTTGTGACACTCCAGGCACTGCAGAGCTGGGAGACAGAGTGTGAATTCCCAAAAAATGGAGTTTTCAGACTGCCTGTGAGACCCAGACAGAGGCACTGAAAGCTGTGAGGACACAGCTGCAGCCAAGGGGTGCTCACAAAGGATTCCTGGGTCTTGTGAGTTATGGGGATGGAGAGGGAAAAAACTGACTTTAGGAAAAAGAACCTTGTTGGTGATCAAAGTACGTGGGAAATGGATTTGTAGGGAATTCTCCAAGCCTGGCAGAAGGCTCACACAGTGTGCATCTGTGTGCAAACCTGGAGAGAAGAAATGCTGACTTAGAAATGCCATGGAACAGGACAGACATTGCTGAGAGAGAAATGGAACTAGAAACAAGTTTCAAAGGATGGCCTTGCAAATAACACTAGATACTTTGGAGAAATAGAACTGTGAAAGATGCATTGTAGTAGGACCACAAGGGGTAATTTCAGATGATTGGCTTTAAGGCATTTACAGCATGGTGTGGCAAAATAGGCCAAGAAACACTTATAGTGTATTGAAATTAGGAAATAGTTGGATTCTGGTTGTGATGGCATGAATTATAACATCTGTATTGTCTCACCCTTCTCATGAGACTGAAAACAGTATAGAAGTTTTTAAAATGCCCCTCAGTTACCCCATCTCTGGGTCAGAAAAAGGCTTTATTCGAAGGTAGTAAATACTGAGGAGAAAAGCTGGGCTGAAAGGTTGTGGCCGAGCTGCAAGGCTCAGTGATCTGGAATTTGAGGTGATGTTACAGGTGGAAAAGCAGATCATTCCTTGTATTGCCCCAAAATATACAGCACCACGCAGCTGTAACCAGTGAATGAAAGATCAGTTTTTAAATTTGATCCCTGTGTTTCTGATCCTGATAATTTTCTGGTAGATTTATTTGGTACTTTGATATTAAGTAGCATATTTCATCATTGCCCCTGCTCTGGGCTGTCTGCTGACCTGGCTGCCAGCATGCATGGCAGAAACCTGCCCACATTTTTGTAGAGGCTGGCACCAGTGTGCCAACCAGGGATACAGCAAACCCACATTTGGAGCTGGGACCCAGCTTGTTGTTACCCCAAGTAAGTTTGAGCTTTCTGTTCCATATTAACACCAGGAATAGTAAATCATTTGTTTATTGGATAGATGTGATGCCTTTTGCTCTGGTCCTTGAATTAAGAGTCAGACACAGTTAAGGGATAAAAGGGTTTTTATCTCAGTATTGAATAAGGATCTTTTAGGTGCAATGATTCACCAAGGTGGAATACTTCAAATGCACACACACAGTAGATTGTGTATACAATTTTGTAGACCTTACAAATTAGCATATCTGACAAAGATTCCCTAATGAGAAGCTTAAATGAATGGTGTGACATTTCCCCATTCTAATGTATTCCCCCCAGATGAGCCTGATCTCAGTTTACAGAATGTGTTCTGGGCAGAACCTTGTTTTCCCAAGATAGTGTAGGGTTTTCCATCTGTGAGGCCTTTAGGATATTTGTTCTCCTGGCCTAACAGAATACCAGGACTATGCTAAGATATCAGGCTTAAAGAGTTACAAATATAAGAGTACTGAGAATACATAAAAGGTATACAAAAAGAAAAGGCAAAAAAAACCCCCCATCATGGCATAAGATGGACCAGGGATTTCATGGAAGAATATTCCAATTTCTTTTCAGCTTCCCTTGGCAGAAGCCAGTTGGAGATGCTGCTTGGAGTGCCAGCAGGGCTTGGCTGTGCTGTGGCACTGACCCACAGCAGCTGGTGGTGCCCACCCAGCTTTAACAGCCATGGCAGGGTCACTGGAGCTTCTTCTGATAAGGGCTTGGAGACTGGATTTTCTAAGTCTTAGCCTAAGGGAATATGTCCTGATCTTTCTATTTTAAAATCCATAACCATTGTATGATTCTAAGACTTTTTTTCCCCCCTGGAAACAAAATGTCTGCTATATAGAATAGAAAACTTGAGCTGGCAATTGAAAACCAGTCTGATTTTGCAAGAAAATAATGGAAAAGCATTTTGTGAAAATGACAGAGGTTCTCAGGAGGTTCATGAGCAACCACTTGAAGTCTTTTTGTTTTGAAATTGTCACCCAGCTGAGTTAATCCATCTCAATCACCTGTCAGAGAGTGGATTAGAGAAGCAGAATTGTTCCTTCTGACCCCCAAAATATTTTCTTAGCATTGTTGAAAGGAGCAGCAGAGGACATCATAGCAATGTTCTCCTGAGGTTTAGGTGGTGCCTGAGTAGATCTGTACATGAACACAAACAGGGTATTGCTTCCCAATAAGAAAAAACTCAGAAAAAATTCATCTCAATTTTTTCTGAATGTGAACACAAGCTAAAATCCCAGTATTTGTCCTGGTTTGGTACTAGAGAACTGTTTATTCCATCTCCTGACATGGGTATCTTCCTTTATTAATTCACTGTTACTTTTGGTTCAGTGGGAAATCTTCCCCTTAAAAGCTTTGTGAGAAGGTTTTGGTGGTTTGACTTCCCCAAGTCTAATTACAGAAAAACAAACACATTTTTTGGAAGGAGACCAGAATTATGCCTGAACTCTGTCAGTGAAGCAGCATATTGATATTTGCAAGCACTGAATGTCTCCTCAGAGTTCTCTGCCCTTTGGATGACAGGGCTGATGCTGGACTAGGGCATGCTTCTGCTGCCTGGGTGTCTCCAGACAGAGTCTAGGAAGGGTTCCAGTCCTAAATGTGTTCATCTGGTCTTGCTGTAGCCACCTCAGCATCCAGCTGGGAGCAGCACAGATAGAGAACATTTATTTCAGTGAGGAAGGAGATTTTGAGGCCCTTTCTAGACTTTCCCCATGGAAAGGAATGAAAATTTCTTCACCTGGGAGATGAGCTGTCCTCAGCATTCCTACAATGTGACAGATTTCACAGAGGACATCTGGCAGGTCTTTTGGAACTGGAGGGCAGACAGAAAACATCATAAAGTGCTTTTTGATCCAGTGGAGTTGCTCCTCTGGGGGCAGGATTGGCCTGTGTGGGTGGGCAGGAGGGGTCCAGGTGCTCCTGGGGTGGGCACCAGCTCCAGCCCAACTCCAGCTGTGGAATATCACATCCCAGGCTGAGGAGTGGTCAGAGCACCAAAAATTCACCCCAGTCCCAATCTGACCAGAGATGCAGATTGCTTTGGAAGGAATGGAGAATTTGATCATTTTCTGCATGGTAGCAGCTGGGAATTAATTCAGGATTTCTACTACAGCTTGTTTGGAGGGGAAAAAGAAAGGGCCCAGGTCTCAGTGTGATGCTGGAACAGGGTTCAGCTCCCCTGAAATCAGCCTTGGCTGTCTCTGTAGATTGGGCAGGAATTACATTTCAACAGCTCCTACTCCTCCACCTGGAGGACATCCTTCAGTAAAGATGAAATTGGGCAGCATGGAAAGCTCAGAGCATCATTATTTACTTCTTTTCTATTCTTTTATTATTTACCTCATTATTTACTCTTTCCTGTAAATAGAGGTGATAAATGTACAGCACCTCCAGCACAGGCACCAGCTCATCAAGCCAGAATAACAGGTCACAGGGCTGTGGTTAAAGTAGATGTTTTTTATCAAAATGATTTCAAACCTTCATGGGCAAACAAACCAAGGAACTTACAGGAACTGAACTGCAGCACCAGAACAGAGGCAGCCACCACTCTGAGTAAGAACAGGAAACTAATATTTTGCAGAGCTGCTGAAGCTTCCTGTGAAAAACAGACTTTATTGTTTCATGTGTTCAAGATCAAAGCACTGCACAGATTGAAAAGGAGAAAAACACCCTAATTTGGAGTGAGGTAGATATTTATCTCTTCAGAAAGCACAGTACTGGTGATGAGAGAGAAAGAGAGCAGCTTGACAAATTCCTCCTCTTCTCTTTCATTTCCATGTACCCCATGGCAGTGATCTACCCTGGCTCATCTGTATTTTATGCAGGGATTTATCATCAAGATTTTTAGCAGCTCCTGCCTTCCTCCCCTGACAAACAATCACTATTTGCAAAACACCAACTGGGAATATGGGAGCTGAGGGAGTCCCAGCAGACATCAGGCTGTATTTCTGCAAGGTTCACAAAGAGTTTTATCAGGTTCTTCAAAGCCAGGGCAAAGCTGGAATGGATGGATTACAATTCAGGAGATGGGCCAGAGAATGAGCCCTTGGGCTTTGTGGATTTATTTTTTTCCTGAGATGGTACTAATAGAGAAGTCTGGCTATTTCTCTGAGGTGGCAACAGCTAGGAGCAGAATGGATTAAGAATGTTAATTTCAGTGATAAAGAAGATTTTTAATCATTTTTCCCATGGGAAGAAATGAAAATTTCTTCATCTGGGAGCTAAGATGTCTTCAGTGTTTCTACAAGATTTATCAGTGAGGTGTGTGAACAGGGACAAAGCAAAGATTAAACTCAACTCTCAGTCCTACACAGTAGCACTGCATCAGTTTATAAATGTGAGCTGAAGCCCTCATTGAAATCTGTGAAGGCCAATGGAAAATGCAGCCACAGGGCTGCTGAGAGCCCCAAACCTGCATTGTATTGAAATATTTCATTTATTCATCATGAGAGCGCTTCAGTGTCTGGAACATTTTACTGTGAGCCATGAATAAGGATTTAGGAATTCACCTTCTCATAGAACCAGATGAAATGTGTGCTTAGAGGAGAAGTTTATAAAGCTAAACACACAAAAAAGAGTTTAACCACAGGTTGTGTTTTGATATTCCCTGTGTGCATCTCCAGGTGGCTGCATGTAAGACTGCAGGAACTATGATGCGTATTCTGACCTAAATCTTCTTTTCTCCACTTTGCAGAAGTGACTCCATCCCCCTCAGTCTACAGGCTGACCTCCAAAGATGCCCAGGGCCTGGAAATGTGCCTTATCACGGATTTCTCCCCCGAGCAGCTCACTCTGAGCTCTGCTGGGCAGCCCACGTCTGCTGTCGTGGGGCTGGCAGCTGCTGGGAGCAGCGAGGAGGAGTCCAGCTACCTGTCCACATACTGGGCCAGCAGGGATGAGCTGCGCTGTGCTGCCAGCCACGAGGGCTTTGGAGAGCTGCAGGGAGAGGACCCTGAGAGTGGTAATGGCATTTCTGGGGCTGGGAGCAGGCTTGGAGGTGCTCTGGGTGTGAGCAGGGCTGGGCTGCAGCCTGTTGGAGTGTTGCCTCCTTGCCTCTGTTTTCGTGTCAGATTAATGCCTTTTTTGACCCAGAAATGGGGCAACTGAGAAAAGTTAAAAAAAAAGAAAAAAGTTTAAAAGCTAAAAGTTAAAAAAAGTTTAAAAGCTTTCATTCCATTTTCAGTCTCATGTGAAGGATGAGACAATACAGATGTTATAATTCACACAATCAGAAGCTAATTATTTCCTAATTACAATACACTATAAGTGTTTCCTGGCCTATCAGCTTTAGCCACACCACACTGTAAATGCCTTAAAGCCAATCATCTAAAACTACCCCTTGTGGGTCTTACTACAATATATCTTTCATAGCTCTATTTCTGTAAAGTATCTCGCGTTATTTTTAAGGCCACCTTGAAACTTGGTTTGAGAATTTTCTATAAATTAATTTCCCACGCTGTAAGTCTCTGGCAAGCAATAGTTCCTTCTCCCAAGAAACAGTGTTACTTACTGTCTCAAAGCTAAATTGGGATTGTTCAGCCTGGAAAAGGGAAACTTTATAAGCATTTATTGGCCTATCAGCTTTTTGCCACACCATGCTGTAAATGCCTTAAAGCCAATCATCTAAAATCACCCCTCGTGGGTCCCACTACAATGCATCTTTCATAATTCTGGTTCTCCAAAGTATCTAATCTTATTTATAAAACCATCCTTTAAAACTTGTTTCTAGTTCCATTTCTCTCTCAGCAATGTCTGTCCTGTTCCATGGCATTTCTAAGTCAGCATTTCTTCTCTCCAGGTTTGCACACAGATGCACACTGTGTGAGCCTTCTGCCAGGCTTGGAGAATTCCCTACAAATCCATTTCCCACATTTCCCCCTCTCTTTTGAACGGAAAAAAACTTCTTTTCATGGTTTTGTTTATTGTCTTTCCTTCTTTTATTTTCTCTCTCCTTTTTTATTGTCTTTCCTTCCACCTTGGTGGAAACACGATTAAGGGTCAGCAGACTGGTACAATCATAGCAGAACACATTGTGGGGGGATAGAAAGCTTGAAATTCCTTTGTCCAAAGTGACACTGAAGTTTAATTAGATCATGTTTTATGCTTGCCGTGAAAAAAAAGGAGAAAATAAAGTTTATGGGAGGGTTTGTTGGCCAGAAATCCTGATTTAGTCCTTCTAAGCAGAGATAGCTTTACAGACCTCTGAAGAAGTACATTTTTGTTATTAATGACATTTGTGGTCACTCTCTGCAGGTGCCAGTGCTGTCTGTGTCACAGGGCTGTCCCTACACTTCAGGACAGGTATGTAACACAGCTTTTAGGAGAAAAGTTTGCCCTGACTAAAGTGAATGTCTTCCTGTCACCATTGAGTCAGAGACGACACAGAGTTCTATCAGAAGGCAAAAGGCAAAAGCCCCATTTATTTGAGCCTGTCCCCTTTTATAGCTTAGCTTGCTACAGGTGGACCTGATTGGTCATTAATCAATACTGTGGAAACCCAGGGCACTGGGGATATTTCTCTGTCTGCTCTGGGGTGCCCTGACCCCCAGGGGAGCACTGACTCTGACCCTCATTCATGGAGAAAGTTTCCTAAACTTCAAAATAGACTGGAACTTACAAAAGTATGAAATACATTATACAGAGTAGTGTAGGTGTATCACTTGGTGGGAAATTTAGGGTTTGGGATTTTTAGTATGTTGTGGATGGAAGCAAGATGGAGGGCACAGGGTGTTGTCCTGGGTTTCTTCTTCTTCATGGGTTTGGGTGGCATTTTGTAATTGGGCAGAAAAGTCTGCATTGTGGGCTCTGTGGGATCAGTTATTGGGTTAAAAGGGAAAATAATGCAGGTGTCAGTTCTTAATTGGATAGTTTAGTCTTAAAGGACCTTGTAACAAGAGATGTTGGCCATTTTGTGCCTTCTAATGAAAAGCTGAACTCACAGTAGTGAGACTGTTTCACTGATAAGAAATAATAAACACCTGAGTCTGAACATGAATTACTGTCTCAAGGGCCTTCAGACCCAGAGAAATAAATACATTTCACATGATTGGCTAATTAACAAGACACCCATTTGCGAACAACTTCATGAGGAAAACAACAAAACAGATTGTTAAAAACACCACCTACAGATTGTTTAATGTCTGACTATTATTGTTTATCCCCAGCTCCCTAAAGCTTCCCAGGCTGATTCTGGGAGAGCTTACCTAGCTTTCTCTCTCTCTGACCAGACTGTGACATCCACATCTTCCCAGATTTTTGCTGGTTTTCCCTGCTTGCAGAATTCTTTCTGAAGCAGCAAAAAAACAGAAAATTTCCCCAAAAGGGCCCCCACAGGTTTTAACATCAAGGCTGAAAGTCGTGGTGTTCATGCAGCCTTGCTGATCCAAGCTGATAATTTTATGCAGTGTAGTCATGCTCTTGCTCTGAATCACCACAGAGCTGCTGCTGCTGCTAAAAGCTTAAAATCTTGAGAAAAATATCACTCTGCTGCTCACCCCAGAGTGGCTCCAGGTACTGCTATGAGTCAGCACTGCTGCATTTCAGCCTTGAGAGTTGGGTTATTTTGGGTGCATAGACACCCAATGGAACAACAGTTAGCAGTGGTTTCTGTGCTCAGGGGTCACTGGAGCTGGGGTGTGTGCATGCAACAGTTTAGTCAGAGAGAGAGAAACCAGATAAACTTCCCCAGGAATTGTTCTGGGCACTTCTGAGAAGGTTAAGAGAAAGAATTAAAACGATCTTGCAGCTGGTGTTTTGAAGAGTTGTTTTCTCATAAGATGTTTACCAAAGTGTGTCTCCTTAATTAGCCAGTGGTGTTGATTAAATGACCAATCAGGTCCACCTGTATCAGAATGGTGTATATAAAAAGGGTTTCTAATGAAGAATGTATAAAAAAAGGGTTTCTAATGAAGAATGTATAAAAGAATGGGTTTCTGATGAAGAATATATAAAAGGATGGGTTTCTAATGAAGAATATAAAAAGAAAGTGTTTCTCATGAAGAATGTATAAAAGAAGGAGTTTCTAATGAAGAATGTATAAAACCAGGGGTTTCTAATAAAGAATGTATAAAATAATGGGTTTCTAATGAAGAATGTATAAAATAAGGGGTTTTTAATAAAGAATATATAAAATAAAGGGTTTCTAATGAAGAATGTATAAAAGAAGGGGTTTCTAATAAACTCAGATTCAGCCTTCTGATGAGACCTGGAGTCTGGGTGTTGCCTCACCCCGTTCCTGACCCAAAGGTGACAGGGCTGCACCTCAGCCACTCTGCCCCAGCTCCCTGGGGAGGGGTCAGGGCAGGGATCTGCTGCTCTGCCACTTCAAAGAGCAGAGCCTGTGCCTGCCCTGCTCACAGAGCAGCTGTGCTCTTGCAAATATTTCCAAAACACCATTTCAGGAAAATGTTCATCAGTAAACACAGTCAGCCTTTCAGCTCTCTGAAGGGTTCTCAATATTAAACTTACAGTGAGTTTTTGCTGACAGTTCTCTCCTTCTCCACTCTAGATCAACATATTTTGAAATACTAATGGTTTTGTAAGTTCAGATTAATATAAAATTCAAATAAAATTGTATTCTGTGATTAAAATAAAAATTGCTTTCATCCTGCCCATCTTCAAAAAAATATAGAGCGAGGAAGGAGGGCTGCCTCCAGCATCCTGGGTTCACAGTGCACAGTATTTAAAACCAGTTAGGTGGCTGGCAGACTGGCATCTTGGATAATTAAGTGGTTATTGATTGGAAGAAATTAAAGTCTCTGAGTCCTAAACCCAATCTCATTTCCTGCCCTGCCAGCTGACTCCATGACACAATGGAGCAACTTTGTTAAAAAGAGCTTTTATGTCTGGCACACGAGGATGTCTCAGTGCTCTTTTCAACTCTTCATTTTCTGGGTTTTTTTCCAGATGAACACTTGAACACCCTGTCCTTGTCACAGCTGGGCCTCAAAATCATTTTAATGAAAGGAATAATTTTTAATGTGCTGATGACAGTGCTTATGTGGAAGAAAAAAAAGGTGAGGATGCTTGGGGCGGGGGTCAGAAAACATCTGGATTGGTTCTTCAGCTCTGAATGCTCCTTCTCTCTGGAACAGCTGTTTATGCAGCTAAAATCTATCCAGTCTATCTAGACTTCTTTTGTCTGCCAGCAGTAAAATCCCTCCATTCCCCTGGCCATTCCATTTTCACCCACCCTTCAAGTGCTCTTCCTGGTCCATAAGAAATTATTTTCCTTTCATGACATTTGTCCCTTTTATTTGTCCATCCATCCCTTCCCTTGCCTGCATTCATCCATCAGGTTTCTCCCCTCACCTGTCTCCAGCTGGGAAAGTTTGATGTTACTGACTTTAATACAAATCCTAATATATCAGCTTTTCCCAGTGTCTGTTTCTTCTTTTTCCCTTGCCTGGACACTCCAGCTCTACAATTGCACAGCTGTAACCCAAATAATGATTGAACACACCTTTGTTTTTCTTACAGGACTGAGTAACCAGGTGGAGCAGTCCTGAAGTGCCAAACCCATCTGCTTTGAGAGAGCATCGTGAGCAGGAGGGAGCTCAGGGATATTCCTTGTGCAAGGACATCCCTTGCTGCTCTTACATGCCACACCAGCCATTGTATTCTGAATTGCTTTATTTGCATTGCTATAAAACCACTCAAAATGAAACATTTCCAGTGTTGTGCCCTCCAGATGTCTGGGTCATTCAGCACACGGTGCCTCTTTTGCATGAAGCACACTTTGCTCTAATTATACATTGCCAAGGTGTTACTTCCATTAAAATGTTGACTTCTGCCTGGAGCAGTGCTGTGTGTTAAGAACTGCAAGCTAAATATCATCTGAATGGGATTTTTTCCTGTTTTGGTAGCTTTAGGGTTTTCATATCTCAGGGTAAACCCCCAGAAACCTTTTCAGGTGCAAATGAAGCACTTTGAAAAGCAAAGGGAGACTGGCTCAGGATGCATTGTCCTGCCACCTTTGCTAGATCAGAGCAAGATATCCCGTTTTTTCCCTAAAGGATGAGCTGCAGGTCTCAAATTCAGTGAAATTGTCACTTCAATGTCACAGAAAAAAAAGATTAAAAAGGATTTTTTAAAAGTCTATCTGACCATAACACCTTCTTAATTTAAACCAGTTTTAAGATTTGGCTTTGTATTTAGTAAAAATACAAACCACTTTTGTTCTTTTTGTTTACTTCTAACAACCTGAGATCTCACAAGTTCTTTTTGTACCAATTGCATAAAAATGTACTGAAATATTTACCTGTCCATGTGTGCCCACCTTGGAACTGTGCTTGCCTGTGGCATCTGCCTGCTGCTAATTCATGAACTGTACTGGCACCACGAGATGTCTTGGCATTTCTTTAGGCTGTTAACAAACAATTCTTACAAAAAATGAGAAGCTTGTTTGTCTTTTTTTTATTTGTTGTTTGCATTGCTTCGCCCTTCCAGCTGAGCTTTGGGGTGCAGGAGGGAAGGGATTGACCAGGGAGGGTGGGAACAAAGCCCTTCTGCAGGAATCTCTGTGGGGACAGAGAGCAGGGAACCCCTCTGCCCCAAGGGCAGGCTGGGCTGGCTGGGGACAACAAAAACAGGGCTTGGCCACACTCAGGGACTGGTCACAGCTCCCTGGAGGCAGATTGGTGCTGCTGTGGGGTGCACAGGACCCTGAGGTGTGCTGTCCCCTGGGTGTGACCTGCTCTGCACTGATGGCACCAATGGGCTCCCTTGGCCTCCAGGTTCTGTCTGTCCCTGGCTAGTCTGCAAGGGAAATGTTCTCCTTTTGTGACATCAATTTCTCCAACATCTTCTGATGCCTTTCTGGGACTACCTAAAAACAGAGGCCAGACAAAATCAAGGGAATAAAAATAAATATTGAAGGGCCTTCAGGTACATATTGGGCAGACAAAGCCTCCCCAGGGGCTACACCCAAAAATGGACCACGGGCCATGGATTTTTATATTTTTATAAGTTTGGTCCATTTGCATATTGGGGGTTAATATTCCAGTTACAGCTTCAGGTGATGAAGTCATTTACTCCCAGTTTGCTCCCCACAACTCAAACTTTTGTTCACATCTCTTGGGCCCTGAGGTGTCCTGGATTCCCAGGCCTGGAGAGGAGCTGTTGTGTCTGCCCAGAATGGGAAAGCAGCAGCTCATACTGAATATCAATTTAGAGTTATACAGGAAAGAACTGCAGGATTACAAATAGATGAAAAATACAAAAGCTAAAATCCTAAGGTCTCGTAATTGAGACAGAGACAACACAAAGCAACACACTCCATTTTTAGGCGGCTTCAAACTGTTTTTATTATGACATGCATGCTTTTTATACATTCTTACAAAACTCATAGCTTTACACTTTACTCATTGGTCACCAAAGTGCTCATTGGAATAGATAGTTAAAGTTTCTCTTATTTCTCCTCCTTTCTTTCTTGGTTTCTATGTCAATGACCTTGGTAGGAAATTCTTTGAGGGGTAAACATGGATCCTCTTCTCAAACTTCTTTCTGGCTCACAGAAGTCACTGTAAAACCTTTTCCCCACTAAGGCATCAGCAGAGGTTCCTCTGTGGGGGAGAAATGAGAAGTGTGCTCTGACAGAAACCCACTGTCCCTGCAAAGCTTGAACCTTGCCTGTGCAAGTCCCCAGAGTGGCAGGAAAAGCCCCTCTGGACAGTGGGGGTGGCTGTCCCTCACCCAGCTGGCACTGCCTGCACGAGGAGCTGCTTTTGGAAAGGCTCACCATTCAAGCATTTTAGCCAAAATCCCTGGTGCTCTCTGTGGCAGGGCCATGCCAGGATCTGACCCCCCTCTGCTGAGCAGCACACAGAGCCTCCCTGGCTCCTGCCTTGGTCCTGCAGGTCCTGAGGAGCTGACCTGGCACAGGGGGACAGAGCTGCTGACCCCCCCCGACACAGAACGACTTTAAACCTTCCCTGGGGATTGCCCTGATTATTTTACAGTGCAGATGTTCAGCGATTTGTTCTTGTCTCTCCCTTGGCATCATTCTCATCTCTCCAGCTGGAGGAAGTGCTGGATTCCAGGCAGCTCTTGGAGCCTGCATCCCACTCATGATGACATCTGCTGTGTCACTGGGAAACAGCCTGCAGAAGCTGCCTAAACCATATTTGAATTATATAACAAGTCATAAGTCATTGCATTTCAGAGATTTCCAACCAATTAACCTCATCCCAGAAACTTTCAGGGATGTGAAAGAAAACTTTCCATACTCATCTACCTTTAGCATCACTTTGACAAATTAATAACCATCGTAAATTTTTTTTATGTTGCACTTCAAACTCACTCCCAGATGAAAGGGCAGGAGTTAAGGACTGTGCTGCTTCTGTTGCCACACCTGAGTCCTTCTTCTTCCAGGTTAAACTGATTCCAGGGACAGGATTTGCCAAGTGGGAGATGAGTTAAATATTTTTACTAAAATGGCTCCTGGCATGTGACCTGCAAAGCCGTGAATTTGCAAGGTCTGCTTCAAAGATGTGAAAAATGCATATTTTATGATCAGCTTTTCCCAAATATGAAAATGAATATTATATGTGTTATGTTAGAAAGTTATAATGTATTAATTTTCTTAAGTAGTATGTTAAATATAGTTTTAGGTTATAACATAATGTTAAAATAGAAACTGTGCTATGTATGATATTTTTTTTAAAGAGGAATTAGGTACTCACACCAAGATAGCAGCCACAAGACACCTAAATCTTTCAGAGAAAAAGAATTTATTGCTCCATTATCAGAAGAAACTAACTTCTTCCTGCCTCCTCAGCCCTGAAGAACCGCCAGGATTCAGAGGAAGAAGTTGACACTGACCAGACAGAATCCTTTGTTTGAATGGGATTTATGCATCATGTATGAGGTGTATGAATATGCAACAGGCTGTTGTTTTTAAGGGTTAATCCTCTGTTAATGTGGGTCCTTTTTTGGGCTTATTTTGCCCAGAAAGAGGTACCCAGACTGTCTGTAACTCTTTCTTTTTATTGTCTTGTATTGTCCTAATTCTAATTGTCCAAATTTTTATTACTCTAATTTATATTGCCATTTTTATAACCATTTTATTACTATTAAACTTTTAAAATTTTAAAAACAAGCGATTGGTGTTTTTCACAAAAGCCACTTTCAGATATCAGGCTGCCAATCTCCCACCACCACAACGTGCCCCCCCCCCACTTCCCTGCATTTTGTTGTTTATTTCGAGCTACAAAAAACCACAGAGCAAAGCGAAGCCAGGAAATAACCCAGCAGGACAGGAGGTGCAAAGGGGCTGGTGGCCCAGCTGGGGCAGGAAGAGGCCACAGCACAAGTTCCATGACGCCACAGTCGAGATCTGGGTCACCGCTGGTGCCCACCACAAAAACCACTTCCTCTGGAAAGTGCAGCACGAAGGGGGATCGGTGGCACGTGGCAGGGAGGGGAGAGGCTGTGGAAAAGAACAGCAGACGTTAGACCACAAGCCAAGGTGGAATGAGGGTAAGGTGTCCTCCCCTCGCCGCAGCCTGCGCTTGGGGAGCTGCTTTGGGTGCAGCAGGAAGGATTGAGCTATGAATAGAGTGGGCAGGGAAAGGAGGGCAGAAATGCATTGTGAAGCGTGGTGGGGATGGTACCTCAGGGTTTAGCTTTTCTGTTTTTCAGTGGTACTTCTTATTAAAAGGCGAAATAACAAAGCTCTTTACAGAGAAAACCTGAGCCAGGGGCAAGAGGCTCTTGCTCCTGCTAAATCACCCCACAAAAGCAATTAGTTCATTTTTTTCTCTTCTTTTTCTAGTGAGTTGCTTAGGTGGGACTTTTTGGCTTCTGTCCAATTGGGTATCCTTAACTTTGAGGTGAAGTCCCCAAGGTCCTATGAGGTGTCTTTTTACCCAATTGAGGAGAGAAACTTCTTGGCTTTTTTCCTTTTTAAGGAGACAAAGGATAATTTGGTCACTCCATCCACAAGGGACATATTCCTACACAGGAGGGGATAAAAGGTTGGGCTAAAGAACAAGAAAGGTCAATGCTTGGAGCCTCCTGAAGTGCTGTGGTGTTACTCTGCTTGGTCTGAAGCTTTCAGATGCTGTATGCTGATAATCTGTGTATTGTGGCCATCTCAACTGTGACAAGTCCCTGCCTGCTCTCCCAGCCCTGCTGCCATTGCAAACAACTCCAGGAGTGCTGGCACGAGTTCTTTGTCCCTGACACAGAGCCAGACCCATCGTCCAAGACAGTGAAAACCCTGACCCCTCACAGACCGTGTCGGGCAAGAGATTTGGGAGCCCCAGGTTTCAGGCTTTTAAAGGTTTAATGGCTGCAGCACAGCTGGAAATGTTAAAAAGGTGATAAAGAGGAGTCAAAAGAGGAGTCAAAATAGAATTCTGAGAGGTTCTGAAGCCATCAGAGAACCAAAGTTCCATCTCCTCAGTGCAGCACACAAACGTTTCCATGCCATGGAGTCTCAAGGCTCTCAGGGTTTTACCTCCCCAGTGCTTCAGCTGCAGAGAAAACCAGACAAGCACGAAGCCGACCAGCGTGAGCACATAACCTCATGAAGGCTCTAGAGAGGCCTGGACAGACTCCATCAGTGGACAAAGCTCCAGGGCATGAGGTTCAAGTGCTGCTCCTGCACTGGGCTCACAGCTCCAGGCTGGGGAGGAGTGGCTCAGTGTGCAGCCGGAGGGACCTGGCAGTGCTGGCTCCAGCTGTGAGCCAACAGTGAGCCCAAGCGGCCAAGGAGGCCAACAGCAGCCCGGCTGCTGCCCAGAGCAGAGCGGGGATCACCCCTGCACTCGTGCTGGTGAGGCTGCAGCTCGAGTGCTGCTGTCAGCTCTGGACCCCTCACTTTAGAAAGGACTTTGAGGGGATGGAGTGTGTCCAGTGGAGAGCAACAGGGCTCACGAAAGGACTAGAAAGTATTTCTCTTCTGGGGCATGGCTGAGGGAGCTGGGGCTGTTCAGTGTGGAGAAGAGGTGGCTCAGAGGGGCTCACATCACACCTGTAGCGAGGTGGGGTCGGTCTCTTGTGCTGTGCCTGCAGTGAGAGCACCGGGGAATGGCCTTGAGCTGAGACAGGAGAGATTCAGATCAGATCAGAGCAGGGTGGTCAGCCTTGGAAGGGCTGCCCAGGGCGGATGGATGGTGGAGCCACCACCCCTGGGGCGTGGCTGCATTTCGCTTCCCAGAGAAAAGCAAGGCAAAACTTCCCAAGGATATTTCCTGGGAATCGCAAGGAAACTCAGAGAAAGAAAAAACAATTCTTATCTCATTTGCTGCTCCTGTTGAACTCATGTGGAATATGTCCTGGAGATTGTTTACCCAAGGGGATGGCTTGACTGGATTCTGGTGATGGTGTTTTGGTTCATTGACCACTTGGCTCCACGTGTGTGTGTTGGGACTGTTGGGGGACAGTCACAAG